TCTGCCTGTTCTTTTCTTTGAGCTAAATATTGAGCCTTCTTTCTGTCATTGTGTCATCATTCAGTCACCCAGGCCCTGTGGGATTAACCAAGCTGTATAGTCACTTGTCTCCAGTTTTCTGCCTCACCTTTAGATTTTGATCTCAGTTTTATGCCGACTTGGTGGTTTTCCTGAGACTTGTTTAATGACTTTCTCTCTCATTTTCTTACTCAGTTTCCTTACTTATTTTTGAGAAACATTTGTCTTCTTCTTCTTATTTTTGTGGATAACATGTATGTTGGAAGATACTCAGACTTCTTCAGAAGCCCAACCTAACTTTCCAATCTCAACTCTTAGAGGAAATCTTTGTTCTGGCCAAGTAGTTCCCTTGTCCGTACAAGGGACAAGGTGTCCAGAGCTCACCCTGTGCCTCCCACCTCCAGCTTTCTCAGAAGATCCATCCCTGCCTTGACCCTTCACCTCCCTCCTTGTTGCCCCTCTAAACCTTTCCTTCTTTAAAGGTTCAACTTATTTCCCAACTGTCAGAAGTCTCCCTGGTCATCCTAGCCTGATTCTTCCTGCTCTGAAGTACAGCATCTACACTCAGGAGGGACTTAGATCCATGGCACCTTGCTTGGCTGCCTTACACCCTTCTGTTTTTCTCTTGCTGTTTGTCTTTTCCTACACAATCTAATATTCCCAGCCAGACTGTAAGCTGCTTGAGGGCAGTGGCTCTGTGTCAGACTTTGTCCTAATAATGGTCTCCAGCGCAGCTCAGTGTAGGACTCTGCACGTGTGTGTTGAATAAACACATTTTCTCCCTATAAATTTTGGTCTCAGTGAAACAGATCACTCATTTTTATTCTTCTTTTAGTATTTCTTACAGGAACTGACAGAATTCAAGTAAAAGGTTTACAGAACATGAAAATAACATTTTGCTGTCCTGAAAATTTGAATGAGAGAGATCCCATAAGAGCACAGACATGTTTTAGTGTCCTCTACCTCCCTAAATACTCTACAATGGAAAGGGTGGAAGAAGCACTTCAGGTAGCCATCAACAACAACAGGGGCTTCGGCTGACCCTGCCCTGCACTCCTTACCCCGTTGGGGAAATACTTTCGAAAATAAAATTAACTCAAAAATTAACATTGAAGTCTTGCTGACTATTCAGTGTGTTTATCTGCCTTTTGAGAACTTCTCTTTTTACATGTAAGATGTATTAATAATGATATAGATTAGGCTGTTAAAACAAGGTGATCCTGAAACATGAAACGAGACAGAAGTTTTTCTTTTTGTTTTTTTTTTTCCCTCATAAACGTCTGGGTAGTTTGTCCAGGGCTGAAATGGTTCTTCTCCCTCTCAAACTGCTCTAATAAAAGTCACAGGTGACTTCTGGTTTGTAAATTTCAGTAGAAACTTGCCCATTTCCATCTTAAATATATGTATGGCCTTGGAAACCTCTGACTTTCTCCTCCAAGCTCTCAGGAGCTGCGCGGCTTGCCTTCTCTTGGCTACCTTCCCATGTCCTTTGCCTCCTTTTCTGCCTGGTTCTCTCACTCCCTGGACCTAACGTGGTGTAGTTGTCTTTCTCACTTTGCACTCCTCAATGCCACGACGTCAGCTGTTCCTTCTGTGCTGCTGATACCCAGTTCGCTCTCTCTGACCCACAGGAACTGATCTATTCCAGCATCACAGCCATTTTTTCTGAGTAGTCCATGTCTCTACCTGCACGCCAGAAATCTAGATCTGCATGGCAGAGTGAGCTGGACCCCTGCTGCAGATAAAGTTTAGTCTTTGGAGAGAGAAAACTTTCATGGGTAGTAGTGGGAGAAAAAGGGAGTCTAGGGCTGTGCTGTCCAATATGTGGCTATTTAATTAAAATTAAATGAAATGTAAAATTCAGGTCCTGTCACACTAGCCACATTTCAAATGCTCAGTATCTATATGTGACTGGTGGCTAATATATTAGTACAAATGTAAGGACTTGCCACCAAAGGGGTCCATAACACACAAAACCCCTGCAATTTTGCATGTGCTTTTTCCCTCCTTTTTTGTGAAGGAGAGCCAGTGTTTATCAGCTGCATATATCAAAACAATTTTAAAGCAATAAAGTCCATTTGCATTAACACTGTTATTACAGTTCCCGAATCCTTCCTGATGTGCCCCCTGCCCAGCTCCAGCCTGGTCTCCCACCACTGCCCTGCACACATGGTGTGCCACATTCTAGTCAACTGTAACCACCTCAGTTTCCTGAGCGGGCCACAGTCTTTACTGCGTTTTCACACATAGTCTGTCTTCTGCCTGGAACCCTCTTCTCACCCACCCCTACCCCTCCTGCTTCCTCACCTCATGTCTTCAGTTCCACCTCCCCCGTCCGGGTTGTTTCTCAGGATTCCCTGTAGAGATCATGGCTATCTAGTGGATGCCATGAGAGTGAATTAGTGTCTGTGGAATACGGCTACCTAGCTCTGCATTTCCCATGCGTAGTCTCTGGTTCCTCCTGCTTGCTTAGCTACCAGGGATCCCGTAAGTTAGCCAGAAGTGCCACCTAGTGGCATGTGCGGAAGACAGCAGTCACCTCCAAATGGACTGTTTCACTAAGAGGGACAGAACTTAGAGAAGGGGACAGGCCTTTCCCTCCTCGACTATGTGCACTAGTGAGAATCTACTGTGGCTCTTGGCTGTAGCAGGTAACTTCATATTTCCTACCTCACTTAAAATGCCCACGAGCTCTGGAAGTAGGTATCATCATTTCCATGTTACCGATGCAAGAGTCTGAAGTTCAGAAAGACTTCGTTAAAAGCCCCTCTGCAAGAATGGAAGAAAATGCAGAGGGAGAGTAGGTCATGGCAAGGCCTTTTTTATATCCTCAGAGTAGAAAATTCCCACTTAAAAAGCCGGTAAGAACGCTCTCATTAACAAGGTGGTTAAATACGATCCCTGTCAGTGATGCGGATGAGGACACTAGGGAAGATAATCTTAAGAGGCTCTGAGGGGGCAAGATGTCCCATGCCACTGTGGAGTCAGTTGATGGTTGAGGAGGAAGAGTCCCAATTAGTGACAGAATCAGTGGGTTTACAGTGCACTGGGAGGTGGTGCGGTCAATATGATGGTGCGTGTGGCATGAGTTCTGAAATGGGAAGCTAGTGAAGGAGTCCCCATAAAGGACAGGCTGTGCTGTGAGGAACTTAGGAAAGGAACCCACTAGAAAACCGATGGAGAATTCCCAAGAAAGGGTGTCACATCTGAGAGTGTTACTGGAAGTAGCAGAATGTAGTGGACAAAATATAGAAAGCTTAAGACTTGACTGGTTGATGTTGAGGTAACGGGGCTGCCAACACTATTAATCCCTAGGCACCAGAAAGTCTGGGGACTACGTGGGCACAATCATCAAGTAGTTAATTTCTTCCCTTTGGTGGTGGTATTTAGCATCTGCAAAACTCAGGAAATGTACATGAAATACTGTTAACTGGGTACTCAGAGAGGAGCTACAGCAGAGGATCTGGGGGAGGGGTCTGCCCATGGGAGACCCTACAGGGTCCTGCTCGGTTACATGACCATAGTGAGATTTAGGGTAAATTAAAAAGAACAATAATGCCATCTCAGGAAATGATGGGAACCTCTACAGTCTTCTGGGTTATTTGTATATTGCCATAGGGTAATTTTAAAAACAACTTATACTACAGTATACACATTGAATTAATGCAATAGAAAATACATCTTACCTCATGTTTTAATTTTCTTTTGAAGGGGAAGAATCACTGTCTACAGCTTCTGTTAAACTAAGATTCTATTAAAAATCAATTAAGTTTATATTCAGTTCTTAGGTTTCTTTAGGGTAACTACTGAAACATTTATGTTATACCTCTGAGACAGTTACTGTACTGATCAGTCTTGTTAAAATTCAGGAAAATCAGTAACTTTTAATGTGTCAAATGCTCATGCCCTTAGTAGTGCTAAATAGGTCTTCTATGGCAGGAAATGTGGCTCAAAACATAGCCCTAAATCAACAGGACATAATCAGCTATTTGCAAGTTTTTCAACCCCACTTCTAACCCCCAGAGGCATATACTTTCCTGGGAAATCACTCTAGTTTGGCTATTAAGTGCCTCTCTAAACACAGCTTACAGTTTAAAATTTAGAATATTTTATATTTTCTCTTCCTTAGAATCACAGTCTTGTGACCAAAAGAAAAAGCCTGCAAATTGTTTTATGGAAAATGTCAATATCTTATTTTATTATTGTTAATATAAGCATCTGATGCTAAAAAGACAAAAGTAATTTTACAAACTCAGAATTTTTGCAAGTTCATGAAATTTCCATTTTATTTTAGTTTTATATCACATTAGTTCAAATGCATTTCTCTACAGGGAAATCCTCTGGAATTATTTTAGTCATTCTTAACATGTGATTTTACCAGACTCTGAATCTAAAACAAACGTAAAACTTCAAATTAGTAACTTTTAGATGAATGGGATAAGAAATAAAGTCAGCAGATGATGGTTGGGGCTGTTAATTTCCAACAAGACACTTTGTTGAAATGTTTCTTCTGAAACACCAGGTATAATTCACCTTCAAAAAACAAGTGCAGAACCCAAGTACAATAAAGAAACCCCTGCAGCTTAAGCCTCCCATAGTCCTAAACCTCTGAGGAGCTAGGCAAAGCCTCTTTCTCGCAAATTAAGTGGGTTTCCAGTATTCCCACGTGGTTGAGCTTTCAGAGACAAACATTCAGGCATATCATTAGTATATACCATCTTGGCTCCAGCTGCATCAGTTATGCCTGAAGAGTTTAATACCCATCCAAGTCCAAAGGTGGAAGAACACATAAACGGGGATGGTGATCGGCAAGAGCAGACTGTAAAAGCACAGGCTGGCTGTGCTCGTGCAGCCCTGTGGGAAGTTTTCTTCCACAGAGGCTGAGTATAACAGTCCTGCTAACGACACCAAGGGAATAAGGACAGTCAGTGTAGGGAGAGACAGAAACATTCTTCTCCCCCACTTATTTCCCGCCACCCTGTTTTTTTTTTTTTTAAGTGGGTGGTATTTTAGAAAATTTAGTTCTGTGTTGTTTCTAAGGATGATCTAATGCCGCTCCGTTTCTTCTTGCTTCTTATTCTGATGTGTCATCCTAGCTGCCTGTGGTATCATATTAGGAATCCCATCAATAACTGGATAGGCTATTCCTAACTCTTCATTAATCAATTCATTTGTCGATGCTTCATATCTGAGGGGAAAGCAAAACAAAATGAATCATGGAAAACAAAATGCTTGGAAGACCTGGATGTTCAGTGAACAGTAACATGTGTCCAATTCTTGACATTGAGTCAATCCCTATTTATCCGAAAGATTCTAGGTTAAAGGTTAAGAAGGCCTTTACAAAAATCGGCTAGTCCAGAACCAAAAGCCAAAGGGCAGCACACATAGCTTACATGCTTAGAATCGTACATGGCATTTTCACAAGAATGCGGAAGCTACTACAATATTGTCCATCATCTTGGCTTAAAAATCGGAATGCCTTGGACTAGTCCTGAATCCCTAGAGTTCATAAACCTGGCTGTACAAAAGAATTACTTACGGTCCTTTTAAGAAAATATCTAATCGCTCAGGGCCTCACTCAGACCTACCGACTTGGCCCGCCTGGGGTGGTGCCTGGAAATCTGCATTTTTAAAAAAGGTCCCCTGGCGATTCTAATGCGCAGCCAGTGGCGAACCTATATAAACTCTTCGATCCAAGCCTACGAGTCGGCGCTTTGACTCGGAGGTTTAGAGCTCGGGTCCCTTCCGGCCTCCTCTCGCCCTTCCTGCGAGCTGGCGGGCCCGGGTCCAAACAATGGCAGCGAAGAATACCCGGAGTGACCTAAAAAGCTCCCCAGTGGCTGTAAACGGCCGTGCGGCCCACCTGTCCTCTCCCCGCGACCGGAGGCCACCCGCAGCGGGGGAATCTCACCTGAGCGGCTTCTTGGAGAGCGGGCACACCAAGAACTCCAGCAGCGCCGGGTCGAAGGCCTGGGGCGGCTTCCTCGTCCTCTCGCTTTTCTCGGCGGACGACAGCGACCCTGACGCGTGCAGGCACCTCCGGGCGACGGCGGATGGCGGCGCGAGTGTCCCCCGCAGCGCTGAGGCGAGCCGGCCGCACGCTCCGCTCAGCATGGTCCGGCAGCCCGGGACTGACAGCCCGGGTCCGGGCCTCTCCAGCCGAAGCTTCTGAGTCCAACTCTGCCAGCCAGGCCCCGCCCCACGGTGCTCTGGAAACGCTGCCCCCGATAGGTGGCGGCTAGCTCTTTGGTTCCGGATGCGCTCCGGACCCGACTGCTTTTCCCGTTGCACCGCTCGGAGGTTGAGCGCTCAGCCTGCCGCCGGGACCTCTTACGGCTGTTCCAGCGCGTTTACACATTGCAAACAAAACGAGCGCTTAAGCGAGAAATGTCTTGAGTTTTCAGCAGGGCCTATCGCAAGGGTGCCAGGAAGCCAGTGGCCGGACCTCACAGTCACACAGTGGTACGCTGGGACCTACGTGGTCATCACCAAAATGAGGTTTCAAACCCACTGTCATATTGGGTATGTGAAAAGCATTACTTTGTTTTATGTCTTTACCACAGTTCCTGTCACGTCGTTTGGCTTTTTTTTTCATTCTTTAATTTAAAAGAATTTAAGACCCTGAAAAGAACGGCTTAGTCTTCTTAACCTCTAAGATGTCCAGATTCTTACCCTGCGGAACTCATCGTGAATTCAATCGCGTAATAATAGCACAACTAATTTGTTTCTATAAATGAGCTTGGAAACAGCAAGGAGTCTAAGTAGCTGTGTCCTTAAGCTAAATGGGTGATCTATTCAGTGGGTTTTTCGCCCCACGTTTGCCTCTGACTCTCCAAGGAAATGATGCTGGTTTGATCTATTTCTTTTTAGTGTACTGGGTGAGTATTTGGGCCCTGGGGCCTGACAGCTTGGTTCCAGGTAAATAGTTTTCTAGTTGTAGGACTCCAGCAAATGACCTAACTATTCAGTTTCCTTATCTGTATAATGAGATTAATAATTGCTCCTACCTCATGAAATTCCCTCCTGGGGATTAAAATATGGTACTTCATGCAAAGAGCATTTGGAAGAGTGCCTGGGACAAATTAATGCTCAATTCATGTTATCTATTTTTATTTTAATTTTCTCCATCTTTCCAGTTCAGTATACTAGAAGATTCTTTGTCAGTGGTCAATTTTTTCCCTTTGTTTTGCTAAGTATTGACTTGAACCTTTTCTTGCATCTTTGGGCTTTATCATTTTACACTTTGAGCTCCTGGGAAGTAGGGTTGGGAGTGAGGGATATATAGATGCAAATACAAGATTATATGTTCAGATTTCTCTTCCATTCAGCAGTGTAAAAGTAGAGAAACTTTTATATTGTTTGTTTGCTCAGAAAAAAAAACCTACTACATTATTTGATGGTCTTTGTTCACTAATGCTCGGAAGATTTCAGCATAGGGCAGTTGTCAGGGATGTACCCTTAAGAGGGCCAATTGTAAAGTTCCAGTGTTACCTTCACATTATTTCCTACTAGGGCAGTGGTAGGAATTAATTTTTCAGGTACAGTTAGTTGATACTTTGGGCCCTAGGGAAAGAGTGAACTATGGGAAAGTTACATTTCAGCAAGGTATGGGGATGCAGAGCTTGACTTCTGTCAGCACAGAGAGGGCCCTGGGCAGGCCAGAACCTTGGCCCCTGTAGGTTTGGGGCACGCACCCATGCTTAAGACCAGCTTCATTAGCCTCATCTCACCTCCCTGGGCTGAGAGATCCCTATCAACTGGGTTTTCTAACCAGTTATAAATAAATTAGTTTCAGTTTGCATCCACATAGAAGGTTTGAAGCAGATCAATTTAATTTAAATTAGTATTGGGGAAATGGAGAGTAACAGCAAAATATTGAAAATATCTTCAAATTTATAGCACCCCAAATCAACATCTCATATTGAAGAAACATCTGAGTGTGTGAAGCAATTGGTCCAAACCATGTAAATATTTAGTTGCAAAATGTCCCTAAACGGCCCTCACTAATTAAGGAATCTAACTCATTTCTGCATGTAGTACACTAAACTGAATGTAGGTGACAGCATAGAATTGTAAAATCATTAGTCCTTTTTTTTTTTTCACTATTGGCATGACTCTGATCTTTCCCATCACAGAGCTCTGGGCTCAGGGACCATATTAGCTGTGTGATCTTGGGAAAGTTTCTTAAACTCTCTACGTCAATCTTCTCATCTGTAAAAATAGTATAATAGTATTACCTACCTTATTAGAGTTGTTGAGGGGATTAAATAAAATGATACTAGTAAAGCAGTTAGCATAGGGGCTGGTCCAGCCTACACATTTAATGAATGTTATCAGAGCAGCAAAATTCCTTATTGTGGTGAAGCTGGAGAAAATTCTGATGAAAAAGGAAAGCACAATGTACCAATGGGAACCTGACGTGAAATTTTTATGGTTTTCAATGTGGATAATATTGAAACACAACTCTTGGGTTATCATACACATTAAATGAGATAGAAACCTCCAGGTAGAGAAGAGGCTAAAATATATATTTTAATAAAGTTCCATAAATACCAAATTTAGGACATTGAAATTTGGGAATCTCTGGTTCAGAGAGAGAAGTTAAAATTACTTTTCCACTAGATGGCGTCAACCAGTATTTGAACTCACATTTATTCCTGCTTGTACTTTTCTTTCTGTGATTACAAAGATTTGCTTTTATTTTGCCAATTGTTTCCTTAATTTGGTGACATCTATTTTAGGAACAAAAGTCACAAAAAATTTGTTAATAAATTACAATTGTAACGGGTTCATTAAAATCAAGGATCCAACAGATAAATGCACAAAAAGTATGAAAAAAATCACAAAAAAGAAAAATACAGTTGATCAATAAACGCATAAAAATATTCATCCTCAACAATAAAGTAATGCAAGTTTCAAACATCAAAGAACTTTCCATTTCTCACCTATAAAAATTATAAATATTTTAGAAGTGTAATTCTTAATATTTGCCATTCACTTATTAATTTACTGATTGCCTGCTATGTGGCAGGTACTGTCTAGATTTATCAGAGTTCTCCAGAGAAACAGAATTAATTGTGTGTGTGTGTGTGTATGTGTGTGTGTGTGTGTATGTATAGAAGGGTTTATTATGAGGAATTGGCTCACATGATTATAGAAGCTGAGAAATCCTAAGATCTTTCTGAAAGCAGGAGACCTAGAAAAGCCAGTGGTGTAAATCCCATATGGATTTGAAGGCCTGAGAGCCAGAGAAGTAGGTGGTATAATCCTAGTCCAAGGGTAAGAGAAGACAGATGTCGCAGCTCAGGCAGTCAGGTAGGAAGCAAAAGGCATGAATTCCTTCTCCCTCCACCTTTTTGTTCTATTCTGACCTATGATGGATTGGATTATGCCCAACCACTTAGCAGTGGGCTGTCTATTTTACTGAGTCCACTGATTCAAATGCTAATCTCATCTGTCCCTCACAGACACACCCAGAAATAATACTTAATCTGGGCACCCCTTGGCGCGGTCAAGTTGACACAAAAAGTTAACATCACACTGTCCTAGAAGCTGGAGCTGTCCTCTGGATATACCATTATACAGTGTTAAAAATAAAAACTCATCACAACAATACCAAAATGATTATTAAATATAATAAGTGAAAAAAAGCAGGACACAAATTTTTTGCACAAGTACAATTATTTTTTAATCAAGAACTTAGGAATAGAAAAAAAATGAATAAAAACCAAATGTTGGTTGTGTTTAGGTGGTTAGAATATTAGTGAATTGTTCTTTAACTGTTTCTCCCTCTTAAATTTTTCTTTAATTAAGTAGTTTAAAAATGTAAATATTACCAGTTAATATTTGAGGTTAATAATTGATAAATGTGTATTTTATTTCAAAACCATTGATTCAGTTAAATGAATATTTATTGAGAACTTCCTGTGTTCTCAGTATTATAACAGGAGGTAAAAAGAACAGGTATAAAAGTGTGAAAGATACAATCTCAATTTTCAAGAAGTTCATAGCGGAGTAAACAGCATAGGATGAAGTTAACTAAAAATCCTAGTTTATATATGATGCATTTCTTTGTGTATTTATTCAACACTTATTGAGTTTACATTGTACATCAGGTACACAAAGGAGGGAGGGAAACCTGTACCTGATGGAAGGGTTGGGGAAGTGTCAGTAAAGAATGGGTCAGCTAGCACTATCAGATTATTTACTTAAGTCTCAGGAGTCATCCATTTTATCCCCTTTTATAAGCTCTTTTGATCCATGAAAACAAATTTGAATTTTGCAATGGGGACATAGACACTTGCTAGCAGAGATGAGTATGATGAACCATCCAGACTATATAGCAGCTCAGAGAAGAGTAAATAATGCAGGTTTGAGTGGATATTGAAGGGCTGCATGTTAATACACATTTTAAATGGCTTCTGTATATAAGTGTCAGATTTCAAAACTGATCACAAAAATAGCCAGGTTTGATCTTCAGCTTGAAAGTTCAACATAATTAGATTGTGAACATGTGAAAAGAGGAATAGTATTTCTTAAAGAGCCTCATTACCACTATTTTGTTCTTTAAAATAGCCTTTTCATATGTATTTTGAAATACTTCAAAAATAAGAAAAGAGGTCACTAAAACTATAAGTGTATCAAAGAGGAAGTATCTGAATAAGCAACTCCCCATTTAGAATAAAGGAAATCAAGGAAAAATGGCAGGAAGTTCTTTGCAACTTGGCTTGGAATAGGAATAGTAATAGTACCCATCTGTATCGGCTGGTTTGGCCCTCTCAGCCTCCATCTTACCCTCCTCCTATCTACAGAAGTTGGAAAGCTAAAAGCACATGTTCCAGACTCTCCTGCAGCTAGGGATGTGAATGTGCAGTAAGTTCGCACGCACGAGATGTGAAAGGGAGACAGAGTCCAGCATCCCGCAGCAGGAGAGCTGACAGGCAGGCTCTGACAGACACGAGGTTTGCGTGGCTTGGATCTGTGTGGCCCTCTGGACACATCTGCTCTGACATGAGGCAGCCATGGCAGCAACAGCAGTGGTCACAGCAGTAGCTGCCTGCCCTCTGGATGACCTTAGAGCCCAAACTCCAGAGCAAGCCCACTATTTCTGCTCTTCCAGTGAATTTATAAGCATATACTTTGTCTATTAAATTCTTTTATACTGGAAATACCTAGAATAATTTATGTTTTCCTACCCTGAACCTTGAGTGATAAACTACCCCAGTGTGTTGATGTGAGATTAAAATGTAATAATATATGTAAATCACTTAGAATAGTACCTGACACTTTGTACTCAATACATGCTACTTATTTAAGTTTTTGTTAGAGAGATGAGTTGAAGCTGAAAAGAATGAACTAGGCCTTAGGTTGAAAACGATGGCTTGAAGGCCAGATGGAGCCCACCACCTGTTTTATAAATAAAGTTTTATTGGAACACAGCCACTACCATTTGTTTACACACGGTCTGTGGCTGCTTTCATTCTTGAAGGTTACAGTTGCAACAGAAACAGAACAGACCACCA